CATTAAAGCAATTTTATGATGTGATGGATGCTTTTGAATCTTTGTAATATAATTTAATGTGCTATCTTATTGCTTGCATGACTAGTCTTTTTAAAAGATCTATTCAAGATCTTTCTACTTCTTTGTAGGACAAGGTTTTTTTTTACTTTTTATAAAATAGTTTATAATCTAATGCTTTCTTTCTGAAACCTCATTTTGTAATTAATTGTATTGGTACAATGTAGATATACATAATGATCACATTTATCATATTGGATTTGTAGCTATACATGATGTATCTTCATTCCTTTTTTCCCATTCCCCTCCCCTCCCTTCAACCCCTCTTCTGATTTTCAATTGAAACTGGACATTTTGGGCACTAGGGATGAGACTAATATTTACATATTCCATTTTATCTGGCTTCCCTTTACATTAGTCTACCGCAAGAAGTGAGATGTGCCATTTGTCACTACCCTTGTAGGTAAAAGCACAGGTATTCCTGCTCGAGCAACATTGACCTTGAAGTGGAAGGGCTCCTCTTTACTGCTGGAAGAGGGTGAGAGTTTTCTACTCGTGAATAGTTTTCCACTGCTATTTTCCTAAATAAGACTGGCTTCTTACTGCCTGGTTAGGGGTGATTTATTGCATTTCCCAAGTAGCCTCCCAGAACTCAGGCACACAGAAATATAAAATGGCTTTGTTACTCATGCCCAGTATCTAAAACCCTGTTTCTCTACCAGGCCCTCCGATACCACCTAAGTGGAGGGCAGTAGAGGATGCCTCATGATGATTAAATTAACATGGAAGCCCAGGCTCCTGGTGCAGTCTCCATTTAGACTGTATGGAAAGGAAGGAACTTGTTACTTAACACTCATCCCCACCTGCTGCCCAGAGAGAGGATTTTCTTAGATTCTAAGACATACTTTTCCTTAGGGCAACAGCTTGGCAAGGGTCTAGACCCAGGCACTTCTACCTGATATTTGCATGTATGGGTTGGCATGGACCTGCAGTTTTTCTTGTAATGATTGACTGGAGAAAAATGATAGTGGCCTATTACATTCTGTCTTTGTAAACTACTCCTCTCTTGGTCCTATGAATAAAGAAAACCTCTCTCTCTC